CAACTCTTACCGCCAAGGTAACACCTCATTCTATGGTCCAGGTCTTAAGGTAGATACCAGCAAAGTTTTCACCGTTGTAACCCAATTCATCACCAACGATGGAACAGCTTCAGGTACCTTGAAGGAAATCCGACGATTCTATGTTCAAAATGGAGTCGTGGTACCAAACTCGCAATCTACAATTGCTGGAGTTCCAGGAAACTCTATCACCGACTCTTTCTGTGCTGCACAAAAGACTGCTTTTGGCGACACCAACGAATTTGCTATTAAGGGAGGTCTTGCCACAATGAGCAAAGCTTTGGCAAAGGGTATGGTACTTGTCATGTCCATCTGGGATGACCATACCGCCAACATGTTGTGGCTCGATGCTCCTTACCCACCAACCAAGTCCCCAAGCGCTGCAGGTGTCACTAGAGGATCATGCAGTGCTACTTCAGGTAGCCCAGTTGATGTTGAAGCCAATTCTCCAGGTTCTTCCGTCACCTTCTCTAACATCAAGTGGGGTCCCATCAACTCTACCTACACTGGTGGAAGTGGTTCCGTCCCAACGGTTCCAGGCACTACAACCTCAAGCTCGGCACCAGCATCAACTCCAACTTCTGGAGCTGGTGTTGCCAAGTATGGCCAATGTGGAGGTACTGGATGGACCGGAGCTACCGCCTGCGTTTCTGGCACCACCTGTGTTGTAGTGAACCCTTACTACTACCAATGCCAATAGATTGTTTCCCTCAGGAACAATTAGGTCTTCAACCTGAGCCGATAATCTCCACAAGTCTGTACATAGGATCGGCTAAATGCTGACCATTCATCTTCTTTCATGTATTTAGTTGTTGACAATTTGAAGTTGTAAGTCAAGACGGGAAAACAGAAGCAGGAAACATATGGGGGTATAAGAATGTCAATCGTTTACACAAAACCTTCATTAAAAAAATCCAATCTTCCAATTTGACCTCCATCAGTGAGTCTTCGTGAATGATACAATTGATGTGGTGGATGAAGTCATGATAGTAATTTTTACATCCGCCAATAGTGCACGTGCTGTGATGTTTGCTTATATAATCGAGAAATTTGTTAAATTTCTCAAGGCCTAAGCAGTATTTCACAACTCACACTTTTAACAGACATACCTCCAGCAATCAATGTAACCTTTTATAAAGAGACAATATCTCATTAAGAAGCGATAATCATATTGTACATTAATGCCCACTCGATTGTCTATAACAGCCAAAAATCCGATATGCTCATGTCCACAATCTGTCCAAAATGTGAGATGATACTTCTCAATTTTCCGCAAGCACGGCTTGACCAGGCGGCCAGTGTCCCGTGCAAATAGACTGTCAAATTGCAAAATCTGAAGATCATAGCTACGAGAAAGATCCAAGAGTTTGAAGGGTTCTAGCAGAAGAAAATTATGTGGCAATACTTCGCTCCACTCGAATGCTTATCCTACGGCAGATGATATTCGTGTGTTGAGAAATGTGGCCTCGGAACCTGTCAATGTGAGGTTTCGCACAAATACCATCACCCTGAAAAAGCAATCGTCCATCGAAAAATAATCAACTGTTTCTGCGAGAACTGGTTTGGAAACATCCCAGCTAAATGAATTGACTAAAGGACATACAAAAAATGATGGTAATGGGCAAAAATTGATCTCTACGCATGCAAAAGCTATGTCAAGTACCAACTCGCTGTTTTTACCAGATTATGCAGAGCTGAACATATCTTTTTGTACTTCTAGACCTATTCTCCAGCTCTTTGTCATATATACAATCTGAACACTTTAATCGGAATGGATTGCGAGTTAATTTGCGATAATTTTGCCAGCAGTCGAGAGTTCATCAAGTATGGATGCCCTTGTCGATATTTCGCCAGCGAACTTTCGATACTTGGAATGGGGTTTAACCCATATCAAACTCCAAACTTCAGACTTCAAGGCTATACTCTCCTGTCATACACGAACCCGCCGTTGATTTTCCCCGGGTTATTATTCCAAACTAATAACCACAAGATTCTTTGTTCACGCTCAATAAGGCGACTCCATGTGTCCGATTTTTAGGTCGGATGATCCCCCACCATATTGCCAGTTTAGCTTGCTGTCATTGAAACAATGAAGACTCTCTAAGTCACTGACTGGCGCAATACTATCGCATGGCTATCAACCCCTCAAATTTATGATATTACATTATCGGACGAGGGAAGTTTAATATTAACTTTTCTTTCGAAGCGTCAGTTCACTCTCACCGAGGTCCTTCTTGTCATCTAGATCTTCTTCCCCTGAATTCAGGGTCCAAATTAATTTGGTAGATGACCCCATAAATAACATCCTAGTATGTACTCTTTTGTACTTCTTGTACTTTCTCGTACTTCCACTTCGTTTTCAGGGGATTTTAGCTTACACCGCTCTAGGTCCCTCCTTTCCACTCTCGCCACTGTAACTGTTTCATCCTGATCTGGAACCACAAATAGCCTAGACACAGCCTGCTGATCCAATATCGGCAATCAATATCTGATGTGGATTGCATTCCGGCTAAGACCTCCATTCTCGAACTCTGGAAGAATTCAAAGAACCCTTAAAAATGCTTATCTCCACTAATAATCCACATCTCAAGCTTTCCCCGTCCGTGTCGCCGTATCCGCGTAATACACAGATGTAGCTCACCACATCCACAAATCACAATCTCTCGAATTCACATAAGATGTTGATCCTCTCCACCAAATACGCCCCTCGCCTCGTAAGAAAAATAAAGCAAAAAGACTCAAGATTAGAGGATGACAATGTTATTAATAACACTGAGACGTTGCGTAAACATGGTAAATTAAAGCACCGACTTCCGATGTCATTACGCGGTGCAGGGCTCACTCAGCGGACGATTCCTAGCTGAATCAGGGGAAATGATATTCTCTTCATATGGCACCTTGACAATATTGATGGAACGAGCTCTTACATGGTAAGGTCAATGTAAAGTATATCTTTGAGCCACTCCTCCCAATATATGCCATGGTCTTTTGAATCTGTTCGAAAATTTAGCTCCCTTTATACTTTGATCAATTGACACTTGCATTGATCGATCCGTTTCAGATAACGACGCACCAAACGTGAGATCTACGACTCGAAAATATACAAAATCGATTTTTTTTCTCTAAATTCTCGAAAAAATATCGTCTGAATATTTTATTCAAACTGCTCCCTTTATCAGCACTTCAAATCGACATAAAAATCGAAATGTTTTTCTCACCCTTCATCACTGGCCTCCTCCCAATTCTAGCAGCTACTTCCACACAAATCGAAGCTCCCCAGCATCCCAGCATATTTATTCTCAGCGATCATGCATCCAGTACCTCAGCACTGGGAAATGCCCTCCAAACTTTGGGGTACACACATATTTCCGCCGAAACATTAAACAGTTCGTTACCGCAACTCAGTACTCACACATTTACCGAAATCTCTACGAACGGCGCGTCAAATGAGCTCATGATCCAATACCCAAACACGAAATTTATCGTCCCTGTCTCATCGTCGCGGAAACATGGAGGTGGAGAAATTGATGTAGAGAGAAGACCCTGCGCCAATAGCTGGCTCAATCACTTGGCTACATGGAGTAAATTATCGCAATATACCTCAAACGTTCATGCAGCTATGGACGTCAAGATCGCTCAACCCGAGAAATCAGAATCCGTCACAAACTCGCTCAAGAAGGAAGGAAGATTATTAGAAATTGCTCTCGATGAGCAAGAGAACTATAGAGGCGAGAAATGGTTGAGATTGTGCAAGTTTTTGGATTTGGGTTATAGTGTGGTGGAAAGATTAAATTTGAAGGAATTTCCTTCTTCGATGGGACAGGAGAAGAAAGCGGCGGGATGGGGCGGAATGTGGAGATTGGTCGTGCAGGGGAGTGGTGTTTGAAAGATTGATGGATTTATGAAAAACTTCGATAGACAAAGTCTTGAGCTGGATACAGAAAAATCCGTGGCTAGGATATAAACACGGCTGGTCGACCTACAAATCTCCTGATGTATGCCGATATTCACAATAGATCCGGCAAGGAGAAAAGACCGTCACGTGGTATCCGTCAATCGACACGCGAGAAGAACTCAAGCCAGAAGCTCTGTTACCTCCACGTATACAACAGGCTCGAAAACTCAGTGTCGCGTTCTCTCTTTCTCAAGGGATAGACGGGAGTGCTATTCATGGGGCACTTTAAAGACACATAGCTCTGAAATACCGACAGCGAGCCTTGGCACAACATTAGATTACATAGCTGAATCGAGATACTATACTGCTCATATTCATTCACGACTTTCATTTGTATTCAATACGTGGTGATGCCATTCATTTTACACTGAATATTTCCTATCCTCCTATGGATACCTACCAATGCAAGTGTGCTGGGTAAGTAAATGAAGTTCATCACAACATCGCTCGTCAAGAAGAAAGATAAACCAGTAATAAAGCATAAGGCCGAGAAATATTCAAATAACTCGATATCATGATGCGTTATTTCTAACTCCGTCCGAAAGTTCAAACAGCCGTACCTACCCATTCATTCATTCAAGAATACGTCTTCCGGTGCTAGTCCATCGGATAAATCACTAGTTTCGACTCCGTCGCATCCATGAGACTAATGCAAAACGTGGGGAATGACACCAGCTGCCGGCATAACGTATCGAGATATCTGAGCGATAAGGGATGATTCCGTTGTGTTCACGTGAATTTTCTTTGAATGATAATTATAGTCATAGGATATGAGAGATCAACGGAGATATATTTTTCACATAGGAACCATTGTTGTTTTTACAGTGAATGCATCGATAATCATTGCATGTGATTTCACTTAAAACTATCGTCTGCTCAAGACACAAAAGATAAGAAAATACGACATCGCAATGTCCTACATTCATAATGAAATTCCATGAACACATTCTGGATCTTATCAATCTCCATCTTCATCTCCATCTCCTCATCGCCCACCCCGAACAAAATGAATGTTCGTATTCCACTCCTAACATCTCGACGCGACAAAGACCCTCGTCTCCAGCTGATGGATATACTGTTGCACACTCACATTTTCCGGAGACTCGCTAAGATAGGAATTTTGAATATAATTACTCGCTGCAAACTCACGTCAGCACTTCAAATACAATCCAACATGCAAGTTCTCAAACGTACCAAAATCTCTCAATTCATTCCACTCATTAACAATCTTCTGCATCTGTGGTCTCGCCAGGATCATGGGAGGTATATTCTCCGTATCGTTATCGATCAACTGTTTGATCGTCTCAAGATCCGTAACCATGGATTTCCATGCTCCTTGGAGTAATTCGAGTGTGCGCATTGCTGGTCTGATCTCACCTGTGAGATTGTTTACTTGGCTCTAGAGAGCATCTGGATTAGTACTTTGTGTAACCTTACAGAAGGTCCAATTTCTTACATTGACAAACCTGATGTTGAGTTGCAAGCGAGAAGCAGTTTTTTGCTTGGCTTCATACTCATCCATCACAGCCTGGATCTGTTCCATGGCTTCTGTCATACCCTTGATTTCGTTCTTGGCTGCTTGAACGAGGCCCACGCCGATAAATGTTCCAACTGGCCAACTGGATATGATTAGCTGGGTTGGAGAAAGAGGGTTTGGTCTGATTAACTTACACCCACATGTATTTAGGAGCATCGGTTATCACTTTATTCTCTGCGAAGTAACAAAGTAAAGTCAGTAAAACATCCTCAACAGAGAATGAGAAGCTCAAAGTTTCTTACTTCCGTCAATCCTAGCCTGGTACTCTTCCAGCTCGGCCTGAGCCGCATCAATTTTTTTTTGCATACTCGCAATATCATTACCCTCTCTGATTAATTGTGCCTCGAGAGAAGTAGCATTGACTCTCATTCGAGCTTCATGCTGTTCGCATTGGCCGTGGAAACCTTCCAACCCGGCTAGTGCTTGTTGTGCGCCAGCCTGTAATTGTTTGATAACCCTAAGTTCTTCGTTGACTATCCATTGAATACCCTCTTTTAGTTCTTTCAATTTTGCTTGATCAGGGTTGGGTTTGTTGTTTTCGTCGTGGAAGTCGCCGATCCATTTTAGCATAAGAACTGTGTAGGAAGTTTCCTCGGTTCCACCTGACATTGTGGCGTAGATTCTGATTTGCGCTGCCATGTCGACGATATTGCGCCATGTGTGATCTCTAAAGTAAACACTGTCTGTTTTGATCTATTTTTGAAGCAAGATGATGTACTTATTAGTCAACTTTCTACTACAAGACTTTCTCCTCGAGTGCACAATTTGAACCACAGTACTTTGGAGAAATTATGGCTCAATTGAGATACGTACCTTTGTGTAAGTCGTCACGAGACTGTCTACTTCACTCGCAAGGTCTGTACTGAGGGGATCGGTTGTCAAAATGCCCAATGATCGTAGATAGTCATTGCGGGTGGTTGGAAGCAATCTGCCCGTCCCGAGAAAACGGTTCAGTGCCTTCATATCGGAAGAGTTGAAGATGAAAGCTCTTTCATCGTCGCTGGCATCAAAGCCAAACCTGGAATTAGCACGATTATCGACGAACATCCCCTTGGGGAACCAGACCTTCTCGTCATCGATTGGTCTTGAAGGATCGAATGACATGTTTACTGATAAATTTTAAGAATGTTGGATAAAGTGAAGTTTTCGATTGATTTTTAGTAAAGGATATTGATATCAATGAGGATGATGCCGACGATAAAAGCAATGAAATCTTCCCTCCTTTAAATGCCCTTGGTCGAAAAGGATCTCTCTACCAATGCACACTGGTTGCACAATCATTGATCGAGATTCAGTTCTCAAATATTGTGGCTGGCTATGAATCTCTTTGGTTTTGGGAATCCTCACGTTATGAAAACATGTTTATGTCCTCTTGCATCACAATCGGTGAAACAGAGGCTGCTTGTGTTTCCCAGCATGGGGTGATAATTGCAGGATGAATTCAAAAATAGTCGGAAAATTGCAACGCTAATTAGAATGTGACATACATCTAGCCATCAACACCTCAAGAACCTCAGTGATTGATTTCTCGGCCATATATCCACTATCATTCGATGCACGCAGCTATGTGTGGAAAGTTGGGATATTTTCAGTGCAAAAAATGAGTGACACAGCTTGCACGCAAAGGGAAACACAGGATGATTGATTAGAGCTTTTTCTTGTAAAATACCGTTTGAGGCATGCCACTGGGTGGTAACCAGCCGAAAAGCTAGGTAGCTAGAAAATCTCACTATCTTCTTGGCGGCGTTCAAATTTGGACCTACAGACATGTGAAGGTCGAGATGAGAAAGTCTGCGTCGCGGGGTGACATCGAGGTGGGCGTCGGTATACAACACAATTGATGGCTATGAGTACAAGAGATTGCGAGTATTACCTTCCCCACTATGAGTCAGTGGCAGAATATGCGTAAAATATAAATGTAGGCCAATTATTTGCATTGTTGGGCAATTTGTCGCGCTTTCGTGGCACTTCCTGCGTTACGAAGCCTTAAAAATCAGCCCACATTCAATTGCGGATAAGTTGTCAAAGTAGACTTTTTAATTTAATCCGAGGGTATACTGAAGATCACAGCTCACACAAAACAGAGGTGGACGTCGCAAATAAACATTCCCCGCATCGCTGCCGCAAGCCACTCGGTAAATAAGCGCAGCAGCCGCAAAACTTCTCACTGGGTATCATGTATGCGGGGAACTATTCTTCTTTTGGATCTAATCGGTACTCTCGAGCATGACATCTAATTCCTCGAGTTCACAAGCCGAACAATGGTCTACTTACACAGCAGATTAACTCGTTGGGACCTGATAGCTTCTCGAATTTGCTTACCACAGTTGCACTGCAAGGCGGGAAAACCAACCCCTCATTTTAGTTTACTGATTATTATCATATGGTGGAAGTGGTGGGGGCTGTGTTGCCACGTAAAAATATCTTGACCTCCACTCAAACGAATGAAATAATATTTCTTTCAATCGTTGAACAGTTGAACTGATGAATCAAGCTTTTCGCATTAAGACGGCTTGAAAAATAAACTCGTAGATGAGGGGTTCAGCCATTCATCACGACCTTGTTTGTCATGGAAACGACATCGGTTATTGCCCACTTGCATATCAGTACTCCCATTACCTCAATCAAAATTTCTCCAGGTAGCCACCAGCACAACCACCCGTAAATTTAATTACACTTCTTGGTAGCTGAGCTCGTGCAGCTACTCATAATGTAGATATCGATTAATTCAGACTTTCTTTACTTCCCAATCAGTTCTGTAATGTCCCTTTAACTCCTCCGGCTTGCTACCTTGCATATAACGTGATATTATGATCCAGCAGTGCTTTGAATGACTTTTCCTTACATACTTCAAGTAAAGCTGGCTCTCTATTATTGACGAAGAAAAAGAAATTGAATCGAACCAATGTTGGGCGAACAGTTCACTGCTCTACCAATCTCGATAATTGAAACAGAGCATCATGAGAAATATCATCATCCCGCAACCAAACTCACCATCTGGGTGGCAGGCTTATGCGAATGAGAAAGCCGTGGCCAGTATTCCACTACAAGCAGCTCAAGATGTGAACCAGACTTCGGTAAGTGACCTTGTCTGTTGGCTTTGTTGTACAGTAGTTGACTTTGATCCCCATTATTCAGAGAATCGCGACATTCCGCGGAGTTTTCCTTAGTGCTTCCACGGTTCTTCCACACTCTATGAGCCGAGTAAACACCTATTCCGATGTTCTTGCCCTAGAACAAACTACAATCATTGCGCCTAACGATAATGGAACGATCCTTATTGTCTCCAGGGTTCTCACTTCCAACGGTCCAGTGACCTTCACAGTCCCAAAAGGTCTTACGACAACATGTGTCGTCTCAATCTATGCGTCAGTGATTAACCAGCCAATCACAGTAGCCACCGGCGATAATACCAGGCGTGTTGTCATCGATCAGATAGGAACTGGAAAGGTCAATGCCGGAGTGATTATAGTTTTTAGTCCAAGCGGCCTACAAGTCGAATACCAGAGATACTACCCTTCTACCACCAGTAAGGAGCTTCAAGCAAGTTTAAACACGCAGCTACAACTTGGTCTTATTCAATTCTGGCGAAACAGTTCCATAGCAATTTCACTATGCTCTCATGTTGCAAAAATCAGTACGAGGCAACAAGCCTATGCCCTCATCAATACGCAAGCAAGAGCTCTTGGACAGCAACTGGCTGGCCAAGCAATGGCTGGAAAAAATATGAGCTATGCACCAGTGTTGGTTCTAAGCCGATATAAAGAGACGACTCAAGCCGCATTAAATGCTGCGACAGCATTTGAACAACAATTTGAACGTTTTGAGGATAAGGCACAGTCCTTGGATGTTCACATGCAAGCATGGAATATTATGTTATCACAAGCTATCAATGAGTATAACATGCGAATCAGTATGCGCAACTTAGCACTCGAGAAATACGAGTCTTCTGTTAGAACAGCTACTAGCTGTTTTCAACAATTTGATAACGACGTTTTTGCTTTGGAATCTCTACGGATTGCTTTCCAATTGGGGTTGAGTAACTGGGCTTTCGAGCAAAGGTTGAAAGCTGTTTTCGAGATTCTGAAAGCAACCGTCAGTAAGTTACTTTACAACATGATGCTTTGATGATAGCTAAGAACCTCCTAGCTTTTGCAATTGCAGTTGGTCAGCTGTGCCTTGGTAGTCCCGGTGGAGTTGCCCAAGGCGCGATAGCTGGAAGACAGGCGATCGGAGCTGTTGTTGCAGCAGAGAAGATCGCTGGCCAGGTGAACAAAATTTTGTCTTCTGGTACATTGCAGACTCTTCTGGACTGCATTGAGGCCCTTGGTACTTTGTATCCTTCTGTCGATACTATAGTGCGGACACTGATACAATTTGGAAATAATCCAAACATCAATATTCCTACTACGGGGGATATCTCCGGTACAAGCCGAGGGGACGCTGATGCTGCTGCTATCGTAACCATGGCTGCATGGGATAGATGGCTCCTAGAAGCTGATGATCAAATGTTATTCGCGGTTTCACAGGGCGTTGCAGGCGCAAGTGCGTACCAACTAGGCCTACGAAAGCACGCTATCAATGGGAAACAATTGGCTCAAGCACAAGCAGAGGCAGTTAAATCTGGCTATGAATATGTTCAGACGCAGATGGAAGTAATTCGGTGTTCCCAAGACATTGCAGATCTTCAAGCATTAAAGGCCGGGTTTGTTGGTCAAGAAGCTGTTTACCTTGAAGCCAAATCAATGTTTTATGACCGGGCCATGGCTTTACGAACTAATGTCGTCCTCTCACTCCGAAATATGGCTTGGGCATATCGCTATTGGGCGCTTTCTGATAGTTCAATTACTCTCGATGGACAAAAGCCTTTGGTCGAGTATCAACAAGATCTCTCTACTGTCATCATGGAGTTGGAACGTGCCGACTCAAGATGGGCGAGTGATCATCAACGTAAGTACTTGATTGTATTTCTATCCTTTCACGCAGATTCACTAATTTTATGTTAGCCTTTAATTATGACATTCCATCAAACACGGTAGGATCACCCTTTTTGCCAAATCAATTTCCTGCTCAGTTTGGCAGTTTACTTACCGCAAGAGGTGTTGACTGACCTGAGGTTACAGCTCCCTTCTAACCAAGGCCAATCAATGATTGATGGCATCAAGAGGAGTGATAACACTGCTAGTTTTACTCTCCTTACCGATAAGCATCTTGCAAGTCAATTTGTTGAGGGGTCTCATTACCGATTGAATGGTATGGATCCTACTTTGAATGGGATTCTCCCTAGACCCGAAGCAATGCAAGGTGGCGTTGTTGTTGTGAAGCTGCAAATCACAACATCGGGTATCTATTCAGATATCTATAATAACCAAGTATTCCATTTTTCCAGTATTCCCCAGGTAAGAAGGTGCTCATACGATCTTTATTCCGATGGCACGAGAGGTACGACACGCGATGAGCCTATATTCGAGACTAAAGATCATGCCGAGCCTACTCCCTTCACACAATGGAAGATCAAGTTGCTGAATCCTGGGGAAGTCAATCTGAATGGATTGAATGGAATCAATTTGAAATGGAAGGGGCGTGTTCGCTTTGGCGAAAGACATCGATTGATTCGTGGTATTGAGGAATTGTAGGGATGTCCTATGGCATGAAACATCAAGAATGGTTATCAAATTGCTTATTTTAATGGAACTTGAATTTTCGCAAATGTACAGTCAATATGACTGGCCGTCTGATATTCGTACTTGATGTCGTCGAACAAATGATAGTAAAATGATAGGATGTAAATTGTAAATTCTCATCGCTTTGGGTAGATATTTGTTAGTGTTCATCACGCCGTAAGGCTACGGTACCGACGACCATTTTGCGCACGGATGTATTCCGTCTTCACTAGCCCGAGACTAGTTCCCTGGCGAGCCGAGTAACGGGATATGTTTTTGTCCACTTCTGACGTCGACCAAATTATACATTAACTCTGACTCCTGACGTCTGTCTTTTTCTATCACTATGCTGATTCAGATCAGGACCTGCATCTCGAATTCCCAATGCTTTCCGCGTCTATGAGCCGGCAGTGGCTCAAGACTCCTTTGATTTTCAACACCTTGTAGTCTTCTCGGAACTTGTTATGATTTCCATGGCACTCAGATACAGTTCTTGTGAGTATCACGGGTGATATACTATGCAGTATGAAGACTGAAGTACCTCACGACTGATTCAAATATTCTAACATTCTTTCGAGGCACTCTAACCTACTTTTCAGAGGTAAATCATTCCACACGGAATCACGAAGATACGTAGCGAGTCAACCGTATTTTCCCGAAGAACTCTTCTTGCCAGAATCACATCAGCATCGTTAATTAGGGTGCATTGACCAGACTTGTCCTCTTGTTGAATGGTGCACATACACGTCCAACTTCCTTTAGCTCTTCATCAATGACTACTATTGCCAATGATACCATCTCTCCAGCTTCCCGTCTTTCACAATAACAACTTCCATCTCTTGATCTCTACTATACCTAGGTAATCTTACTTTTTAATTCTAACTATTCCCTCTCTTCTCGTAACTCATGAATTAATTCACTTACTCTATAACTCTATTCACCTCTCTTCATCTAATAGACTTCATACCCGACTCAAGATAATTCTTATAACAGCCCCCTTTACTGTAGCACCGGACGAACCGTAGCTCTTAACGGATACCTAAATCATAGATTAGGTTTCAACTGTCGTAACTAAACAGATCACCAACAAAACACTTCTCAGAGTGGATTGAATTTATTCAACTTTCTAATAAATATAAATGGCCTTACAAGCCGCGGATTCAAGCATTGTTCCACAGCCATACAGTAATTCTCGCTTTCTAAGCACCTCCCATCCATTCTTCTCAATCCTTTTAATCCTCCTCTCATACGCCTCGTCTATCTCCTTCGAAGTATAAGTACAGTCTCTATTAACAGGGCATTACGTGCACACACTTCGCTCATGACGAACCCAGCTTCTAAGCCCTTTTTGATAATCCTTACTAGAGATATAACCATCTTCATCAATGAATTCTTTCATTTCCTCTCAGAAATCGTAGACGTCCCTCCACATCATGACCTCCTGTATGTGGTTTTGCACCTCTTCTTTTGTAAAACGAATCGGGCAGGAATGTTGAATTCCATTTTTTCCCAATTTCTATGTAGTTGTCAGTTTATTGGACTAAAGAAAGGGGGATATGTGTGACACTGAGGTAAAAACTATCCTTTCAAATCTTATCAAATGTTGTCTTAATTTTACAATGTCTCCATTCCAAGTATCGAAGTCATCATCGAGAATTTCTTTTCGTACACCTGCAGCAGGCACATTTTTCATTTTGTTAAGTATAGGACTCTGGTCAGCATTTTCTGACTCGTAGACATCCTTTCTGAAAAATCCCCAATCTATGCGCCTGATGCGGCGGCCGTCATGTGCAATCGGGCTACTCTCCTCGAAATTTGCCAACTGCATCGCACGATTGTACTTCGTGAAAATCGGATCGTCAAATTGAAGGAATAAGGGGCCAGTCCATGCGAATTGCCAATCAATAAGACTAGTTAGTGATATGGTCATCTTTGACAAAAACATGCTTTGAATTAATATTGGTATGCCAAAGATTAGACTGAGCCATCCTTGCATCTTCTGGAATAATAAAGCGATGGATGGCCAGAAATCTGTTGTAAAGATCAATATGGGCACTAGGAGAGTGTTGAGAGTCGAAGATTGCTTCCTTTTTTGGCGATTCTGCAAGATTACTTTGTCCCAACCATTTGATCCAATTATTAGCTTGAGATTTGAGAAATTCATGAGCAGTTTTCCCTGAGCAAGAGTAGTAATTAATAGTCATCGAAAATGATTAACTTTCCATTGCTTACAGGGACCGTGGTTGATTCGCAATGCTGAAAGCTCGTCTTCCCGTGACGTGTTTTCTACCCGTGGACGAATTACAAAACGCTCTTCCACTTCTTTCTTCACTTCAATGGGGATGTCATTCATAACCTCTGCTTTTTCACATCCAGAAAACCAGTCACCGGTGAAGTAGATACTACCATGACTATCGGGATGTCAGTCAGTTTCCACAGACCCCATAGCGTTTGTTGAGACCAACCGTTTAAGGACTACAAAAAGTAGCTTCTTCTCAATGGCCACTATATCAGCAACGAATTTTTGTCTTGAGCCTAGCTCTGTGACAAGTTCTTCTCTTATCACAACTTCCTTATAGCTTTCGCGATTTCGATCTACCAGCGATATTTCAGGTGCTTCTTCCATTATGATATAGTCTGTTGCAACAGGATTATTGGACTCTGCGTTCCAAGCATAGACTTTAGGAACCGGGATTTTGAGAATGGTTCTAGCCTAAGGCGATCAAGATATCAGCTAAAACTTCGTGAAATGAACTAGGGGTAGACTTACGAAATCCATAGTTGCCACCTCGAAGCTGTGGCTTTAGAATCTGGACAAAGGTTTCGAAGGGTTATACGTGCAATTGCAACGGAATCGTTATCCACTATCAGCTTGAACACTCTGTGCCGACCCGATTCGCTTATCTTGGTCATTGAAGAGCAAGATTTAGCACCGACACTTTCGATCGCAATGCCCTTGAGTGCCTCGACGTTGAACTCTTGATACCTTTCAAAAAATCTTTTCTCTCCATCCTGTAACCACTTACCGCGAGTATAGCGGAAGAAGTGATCATAGTTCTGCGAATCAGTATGTGTTGACACGCACCTATGTTTGAACGGAATGAGACGTAGTGTTCTGGAAGACGTGGGTAGAATACTCAAATTGCGTATAGCAACGGGCATAGATAATGGCCGACATACATATCGACGACCGATATGGTGCCACAGCATGATGGGCGTTTGTGATTTCAAACTGCTGCCCTTGACAATAGGAGTCTCATTTTGTGCATGGGAACTTACATGGAAGAATTAATTCTGCGGGTTATTTGAGATTCAAGAGAATTCCATGTGCTCATATTCACTTGAAATACAGTAGCCTCAGGAAGTTGTTATAATATTCCTAGGTAGTCAGTTTTGAAATGCGATACTAATAATAAGAAGGTAGGCAGTACCACTTCGCCATTGGACGTTTGTCTTTGGTCGTATACTAGTCATGATATCATCACGTGAGTGTACTCACATCGGCAACATCGATTACATCATCAGCAATTCGATCGAGCCATCCAATGAACTTTCAGCATTTACTCAGGCTTTCGGTAGGGACACATGCTCCGAACGTTTAAAGTTTAGTGCCTCTTGTGCCTCCCAATTCACTAAAGTGACGTCTCTTACCGGGAGGGGGTACGGGGGCTACAGGGGTTTCAGCTAGCCCACACATCATTTTTCGAGGTTTCAATGAATAATGAATGAATAATGATCCATCAAAGAATATTGGATTGGTTCAAGACAATACCATACGCTCATAGTGATACGATACATCGACTTCATTTTCTATCAACACACATACCATCACACAACTTATCGACTGACTGGATCATTCGACTTGTTATCTACCGGAAAATATTCTGCATACGATTCAAAATATACTCCCTACACTTACTTCTACTCCAGTTTTTACTCACCGACTAGACTTCAGCAACCCAAATTAATCTATTCGGCGTCAGTCAATACATCGCCATCCACATCCACATCAACACCCACCGCTTCTTTCCTTTCCTTTTCCCAGCTGTGCATTGAAACGCCAGCGAGGTAATTGTGACTCAAAATGGCCGACCATGCATCTGCACTCAGGAGAGAATTTATTGCTGGACTCCCCAAGATTTCTTCATCTTCATCAATTGCAGATATGAGGATTACCGAATCTCAAAAGTTGAAAGTCCTGGTGGCCGCAAATGGAAGTAAAGATGTCGCACAAGCTCTCGCCCTCATCGTGAGATTATCTAAGAATCCTAAGATCGAAACTCGAGCGATTATTGACGAAGAAACGTGGCCATCATATCGATTATCCCAAGAGGCACTGGCATACCAAAATAAAAGATTCTTGACGAGGGAGACGGATGAGGCAAGGAAGGGTATAGAACGAGATCAAATCGAATATTTTCGACAAGAGGCCTTTGAATTGTGTGACTGGGCAGATATACTGGTACTTGCACCTATCGATGCCGACACGTTTGCGAAAATGTTGCACGGCATAACCGATTGTCTATTGCTGGAAATTCTCCGTGGGTGGGACGTTTCCAAGAAGATATTACTTGTACCAGGAATGACAACATCCATGTGGGAGAACCCGATTACCAAGAAACAATTGAATAAAGTACGGAGGAAGTGGCAATGGGTTCGAGTCATGCAACCAATACTGTGGCATTATGATGCGAAGGGACCCGGGAAATGTTTCGTCGGGTGGGATGGATTCAACGAACTTGTCGACGTTATCAAAAATCAAGCGGAACTTTTGACAATTGGACATGATGTGGATATCGCTGCATCTGGTGCGGCAAGTCTCGCAAGATATAATTTGAAAACGGATGCGCTCCTTCCACCAGAGATCTGGTCCCTCATTTTCGAATACGTAGGAGATTGGGAGGTTTCGAGAGCGCTCAATGTGTACGCCAAAATACCGAGGCCAATTGAATGGCAGCGAAAGCCCGATGATGCAAAAGATGAATTACAAACTTACATGCGATCACTCGAGTGGGTTATTCTCACATCTCCTGTTTACAAAATCATCGACAAACTAAATACAGCCCCCGAAAACATGCGAGAGCTTTCCCCGCTATGCGTTAAACTCATCATTAAATTCTGCCTCGCGGAAGTCCTCTCATATCTGGAAACAAAATTGAAGGACGTGTTTTGGGCAACTTTTGGCCAGAAACTTTTACCCACAAAAGCGTCTGCTGTTTATGGACGTACCGAAATTCTAGAATGGTGGCGCACATCTCCTTCTTTCTTGTCCAAGGACTATACTGCAGAAGCAATTGATGGAGCCTCGAAATCTGGATATGTACATGTTCTTGATTGGTGGAGAAAATCCGGACTTCCTTTGAAATACACAGAATTGGCACTGGAACAAGCATCTTCCAAGGGACATATGCTAGTTCTTGAATGGTGGAAACAAGCTAGTCTTCCCCATAACGAAGCTGAACGACGAACTCGACATGCAGAAGCTACAACAAATACCTCTGATGTTCTTCCGGCTTTACAACTCAAACCTGGTAAAGCACTATTAGCCGCAGCGCAAAATAATAAAGCTCTCGTTCTCCGCTGGTGGGATAATTCTGGGATTCCTATCGCGCATTCGGAATCTGTGGCCAAAGTCGCATCGGCTCATGGACATGTCGCATGCTTAGATACATGGCGTGAACTCAAGGGCGAGAAACTAGCATTCGATAATCAGGTTCTAGTAGGTCCTACGAAGAATGGTCACGTAGAAGTTTTGGAGTGGTGGGCAAATCTGAGTCATGGATCGAATGGAAGACCAGGTGGAAGAGTCGAATATAAAACTTGTGATATAGAGGAAGCGCTGGAAGATAGTGTAGGGAATGAAGGAGAGGAGTTGGAGGTTAGGAGATGGTGGGCGAAGATGGGGTTGAATTTGGGGGGATCGGTTAGTGAGTGGACGAAGGTGAAGGTCTTGTAGATAGGGCGATGGGAATGGGAATGATATGATGTCATGTTTGTAACGCACAGAATATATGGGTACGGATGGTCTGGGGTGCATGGACTTGGCATAAGCATTCAAGGGGAGTTATTTAGCGTGTTTGATATCTGAATTACGTTGAGTAAAGTACGATAGTTTGATTTTGAACAGCCTGTATTTGTTTTCAGATGTTCCTCCTACCGAATGATCTTCTGTTCGGTGAAAAGTGCTAGTGATATAGTCAGTCTCTTACCGTTCGACAAAACCATATATCTGTATAATTCGTAGGAAAGCATCTTAAGCGTCTATGATCAAACTCGCTTTTTTACAGTCCGCGGGTAAATTATGAATCATATACCATAACGCGTAATCGGGGAAATAACCTCACATAGGTATATTGCCATACGGTATGGCATGTATGATCATGGGACCTGGGTGAGGTATGAGGGGATAGAAATGAGGATAGAGACGGGGATAGAGATAAATGGAACTTCGTGGGGTGCTGTGATAAGGGGTGATTGTATGGATGTTTGTTAGTATCTAATAAGATATATCTGTATAGTGCAGACCACTCACTGAAGTTTGCACTATAAATGTACGATATAACCAGTATATATAGCAATAGTATATCCCGCGCAACGATTCAAGTAAAATGTATTCTTTCATGTCAATTATTGGGGTCTAGAATTCGACGGCACATAGACAAAATAGGAAGAAACCATCAGGCGAGAGAATGAAAAGAGAGAGATCTTGTGAATTAACCGAATCGTTGCGTTTCTCTCGGTTTCCTACTTTTTATTCCTTTTTGTTGTATGGATAGATTGGAAATTCTTTTCATGTATAGATTGGGTAGAAATAGATGAGTATATACAGAGCTGAAAGATAAGTATTGGAAAATATGGCTGATGGCTTGCTACTTACCAACAAGGCCGGAAGTGGTCGTATAGTCACGGGATGTTTTCACTGGACTTTCACCTTGTGGATGATCAGTTGCTTTGAGGCTATTATCAGATACATCGCTATTTTGCGTACTGGTGAAACTTTGTTAGCGCTCTTGCTCATTGAAATAGCAAGTTCTTCGACAGGTGGCGTATACGCTCGAGAGACGTGCTGTCTAATGGTCTATGGCGAGGATTCCACACCCAATATCAAATAAAGGTGCATCTTTAGCTGTGAAGAATGATGTGGAATGTCGATACTCAAAATTCATTCCTCATATCGCTTTTTTGAAAGATTTCATTCAATATAAGGGAGACGGCTTCTTCTCAACTGACTTGACACGAGTTCGTCCATGACGCCCTACAAGTAAACAAATTGTTCAGCTTCCAGACAACTCAAATTCAAATCCAGCGTAACTTACGCTCTGTTAGCCTCATCCACTATAGGAACAAGTTAGTCTAATCCAATTCTTTCAATCTTGGAAACCTACCTTCTAACTCCCTCGCCTTCTCCTCCATAGCCACCAACGCCGCTTTAAAAATCTCCATATCCCTCTCCCCAAGTTTCGGATAGTTAGTCTGCACTATCCTCTCCACATCTTCCAACGGTGACTCTCTTAGTCCCGCCATACCTTCCATTCGTGGATCAGCTCCAAATTCCAACAACAACTCCACAATAGGTAAATTTTCATATCGAGGCATGAAATCGAAATGAAGAGTATCAGTAGCATAATGGAGTGGTCGACCCATACTCTGTTCAGGGCGTGGGGCTTTATCTAGTGCATTTGGATCAGCACTAGATTCAAGAGCTGCGCGCATGTTGCCAAGTTTTTCGGCTATAGGGTGACCAGATACAATCTCCCAATGTAGTGGAAATCCCTCAATCCACCTGAAGGGCTTAGTTGGAGGACCTGGTGTAGACATCTTTGAGAGCTATCGGGATGGACTTTTAGTTGTTTGATCAAGCGTGGTGATTGAACAAGAAGTTTTAAGTCAACAAATTTACCGAGCTTACCGAGCTTATCTAAAGAGACCAAGCTCAAAGCGGTCTCTTTTATTTATTGAGATTAACGGCCAAAAAGCAAATCAATTAGATAGATTATACAGGGGATATTTGTCTAGGAGTGAAAGGGTTTGGAGTCACTGTGGTGTGTGTGGGACACATTTGATGGACGAACACGTGATGGAGAATGCTCAAGATTCTTCCTATTAAATTCATTATTTCTTAAATACAAGGTAGATATTGATAAAAGTATCGAATCTATATATTTATTAGTATCTTTAGAACTCTCTTCCTCGAAGTTTGTGGCTGCTGATTTATCATTCACTTTTTGTAAAGACACGCCTAACAATGTATAATGTGTTTCAGATGCACCAAGCAAACTACAGAATTTGTGCCTACGTGATAGCGATTGTGGCAATTACAGCACTTTGCCTTGCTTGTTCTGCGTTGCATCTCCTCAATTTACTCACATATTAGTCGTGGCTAGTCATCCAGTCGTAGCCAAAGTTTCTAGAATTCTACGTACATGGTTCGACAGCTATGGATATGTCATGACACTTTCCCAGTCTGCCGAGCTATCGAAGACCGATTATTAGTGAAACACCTCTATAATTTGTTTCATACGGCTCAAATGAGTGTTTGCTACCATCAACCAAGTGACTGTACATTCACATGCTCTTTCATACCAGAGAAATACATTAGCTATAAATATCCCGATGCTGCTGTATCCACTTCTCCAAACCAATCGAAAATGAATGGCAGTATGAGAGATGAAATAGTTATAAAGATGGGCAGTACTATAGCTTCTTACTTTTCATATATCAACAGCTATTCACACTCGACTATAGTTCCTGAAAAAAACATCTTTTCAAATAACATACACAACATAAACTGGCATAAAATGTCTCTAATCCAACCACAACAAGAGTTTGTGATTCCTCGAAACCAATGCGTACCAAACAGCAACAACACTTTCCCACCACAACTACATAAGTCTTTGATGATCAGAGATCTTTGTGTAGGAAGAATTGTTTTCCTCCCAAGAAGTTCCAGAGGTATTGATAATGTCAGATGTATTCTATCTCATAGTCCATGCCTGAATCCTGAGTTAGATCCAATGGCATATGACCACTTCGTCATGATCCTTGATGTCTTTCAACAAGACGATGGACAAGTAAAATGTTACATCTGTTTGGTAAGATTCCAGGAAACCAAACAGCAATATTGAATCCCACTAACAATTCAATAGTTAACGACCAAGCAAGTTGTTCAGAAATACAAACGTCTAGATAAAAGAATCCCGATCAAAGGATTCTCAGCACGACCAAAGTTGTCACTAGAACAAGTATATCTCGAACAGGGGTCTATGCCCAAACAATCTTTTGTTCGCGTTAGCCACGTCTATGAGATTTCGTTTTCGCTTCTGAAACCAATCAGAGAGGAGAGTCAAGCGTATTATATGAGACTCTTGAAAGAAAGCTATTATAAGTTGATGCAGGAATTCAATTTGAAGCCGGGTGTGTACGAAGATACAGGGTCGGTGATTCGGTTTGGAGCAACGATTCGCAGGGAGGATTCCGGACCATCACTGAATGGTCCCGACAGTGGGGAGCTGGGAACAGAACTTCCGGATCGTGAATCATCTGGATTTACATCATCCAGCAAGCTTTCTCAAGTTTTGACAATTCTTGCTCGGCCAGAATCTCAAGCAATCTTGAACTACCCGGGTCCTCAATGTGGTACAACGATTTCGGCTCTTGATCCGTCATCTACCAAGGCGTATATCTCCACATCGCCGCTCAGGGGATCAAGGATCAAGCAGAACAGCGACAAACATGAGAACATCACATCGCCTTCACAACTCGAATCGTCTGAGATGGCTCTGCTAGACTCACAGCCTGTACCAACCAACTCCTCAACACCACACAATATCACCATCGCCCCCACTCACACACCCCCACAATTCCCCCATCTCCCCCACCCTCCCCCTCTCAATCTCAAAAAAGCCCTCAACCTCCTCTCAACCCCCCTCTCCCGCTTCCCGCGCCACCTCCTCAAAGCCATCCTCTTCATCAGCACCCAACCCTGGGGAAAATTGTGTCTCTACTCTCTCTTCCTCCTCGCCTGCTACTACACCGGTACGCTAAAATTCGGATTCCTAGCTATCAAAGGGTTAGATGGATGGTTAGCGACTTTGGGGAATTGGTCTGCACCGAGATATGTAAATGTTGTGAGGGTTTTGGGGGGTGGATTAAGGTTTGGGGGAGATTGACGAGTCCGGTTTTAATAAGGATGGTGAAGGTTGTGGGGGGTTGTTGAAGAATGTGGGGTGGTGGGCTGTAAGGAAGATTGTGAGACGAGGTTGAGGGAGTTTAGTTTGGGATAAATGATGGATCTTTGGGATAGAAATCTTGGTAGGGCTTTATGCTTACCCGGCTGGATTGGGCGAACTACATAACATTTGGTTGGTATTTGTCCTTTAATTTGGAGTAAGATTGAGAGTTCATGTAGTTACGTTCATCTTTCAAATCATGACTCCGGGTGTACCTTTTGTTTCAATGTGAACACATAAGCATCGCATGTGACATAGAATTGTTAAATCTTGACTTTTGGTATCGCAATATATTGCTAAGAGACAGCTAACAGGAGCTTGGTATATTATTGAGTCTCAAAGTAAAGTTCTGCTCCGAAGCATCTGAACATAGAAAGTCACTCATAGGATCCAACGTGATGGGTAAACATCTGGAACCAAGATAACCCTCAACTATGAGTGAGTTTCAGGATATGAGAAGCCGAAATTGAGGATTCGGGAATGGACAGTCAGAAGCCCTTGAAAAAAAAAAAAAAAAAAAAAGGGTTGTACGTTGCCAACCTCATGCTTGAAAGAATCGAGATGTTTCTCTTCATAAAATGGTAGAGCTCCCTGTCGAGTAACTTTTGCGTAGACATCCCTCATCAAATCTGACTTGAAAGAGACCACGGCGATCTACCACGTGCATCTTCGTGCTGTAAAAAAATATGTGTTACAAGTTTTGTGGGAGTAGTAAGATCTTCATAAAAGTACATTTGTTATATTCAAAGCTTGAATACCTTCCAGTCCTTGACGCCCATATAGCCAAGGACCCCTCCAACTTCGCCTTGCTCTTGTTTGCCATTTCTCCACCTTTTCGGTCCAGAAAAGTAGTTTATGAAACCCTCCGGCCCCGATACGAAGAGTAGTTTTGAATTACTTTTCTTTATGACTGATCCAGAATCTACTGCTGAACTGGACTGTATGGCTTGTGATATCATCTTCTGATTGATGAACGTTCCCTCTTCATCCACCACATAATTTACTTGAAGATTTTCTGGGTATTTTTGTTGCATCCTTTGCAATTGCTGAACCACAGAGCTCCGCGCTGTAAGTGTATCTGACTTTGAGCCAGATTTGTACGTTTCACCCCCAACACAATCCTCTCTTCTCCTATTTGCCCAAACTATACAAATCCGTGGTAGTTTGCCTTCTGGCTTTCGCACTTCCAGTAAGGTATGAGCAACTTGCATAGCAGGAGCAATTCCCGTCCCACCAGCCAAGAAAACAACCTCGCTCACATTCTCTGGCAAGTCAAATTCAACGTGGGGGCCTCTGAGCTCAATCTCGGAATTGGCTTGTAGCCTAAATAAATAGTTTGACATTTCTCCATTTGGTTCCTTTCGAATCAAGAAACGAAGTTCACTATTTGTGGCATTTTCATCGTGTGGTAATGGCGTATAAGATCGTGCAATTTGCAATAATGGTTGCTTAAATTCTACTGACCAGAGGCCTTTCTCCCAGTATGAGGCATAAGGATCTGATTTTGTAGATTTTTTCGGTTTAATAGTCAAAAGTTTACTTGTCGATGAGACAGTTTCCTCTGCAACAATAGAAAACTTGGTGAACCTAGGTGAGTCAAATGGATTTGAATCCGTGGTTTTAAATTCAATTACAGTTCCAAGTATTATTGATCCCAAGAAAACTATTTCAGTAATGAGTATTAAAGCTCTCAATGATTTTTCATCCTTCACGCTTTTTACCCAATACAGTACTTCTGTTCGTGGGATAGGAATTATGAGAGGACAAAAGACGCCGAAATGTTGAGGTCCCTTGGGTGGCGGTGCTTTTCCAAACGTCATGAGAGGATTTTTTGGAGGCTCATGCCAGGGATAAAAAAAGTGGCGTCGAAAAGTGTGAGAGGGGGAACATCGTGCAGTATGGACTGCTGTTCTGTAGCCATACAAAGGTTTTGGCCACAACCTTGCCGCAGTAGGAAGAAGAGTTTGCCGTCGCATTGAAACGAATCGAGGAAATGGAGATGATATGCTTGACATCTACCAAGGTAGGTAAGGAAATATCGATGAGCAAAGACTTCGGATTATAGTACTTCCGGTGGAAAAATTACCAGAAGGCGGTGAAGAAGAAATTACCACACTGCACACTGCTCATGATTCAAAACCAAAACTTCAATGCTCATAAATCTTTCTACATACGAATTTGAGACCGGTACGGAGCAGTCTAACCATATATATCACTTGGTTATAAAATACCAGGTGCCTATTACCACAATTTATATTACAACCCAACGCACGAAACCTTTTACTTTCCGAATTAACCAAATTCTATCATAAGATTCACATCGACATTTGCGGAATACCCCAAAAATCAACGTCTTCCCTTTTCATTCTGCTTAGTCTTCTTCCCCAAAGATCTCCTCGTCTAGTTTCAGGGGCTTATGTTTCAGTTTATGTACTGTTTATTTCCTCTATTATAGAGATTTTAACAATTCTCTACTCGCATATGTATATTGTGATATCAGTGTACGTTTGATTCTTTCCTCACAACCTCAAGTACTTGTCGCTATATTCTCTTTATTTTATTCTTTATCATTAAAACAAATGACTGGTATATATATACATGTAAATATAATTGAAGCATCCAAGATCACTTGGACACTCAATGATTGCTTGTCTCCACGAAAAGTACGTACGCTTTTTCCTATACTATCACGTATTGGCCTACCCCTCAAGGTGCTTTTGCCTCCTATTCATCATCCTATATTTTTGACGACTTGGGTATCTTATTTTCTCGTCAAATCTCGGACTAATGGATGTGTATCATCCACCAATGCTGCATAAAAAACACAGTCCACGTTCCAAATTTAAAACCTCTCGTCTCCGCTCTTCTTTCTATCTCCCCGCGGCCGTACTTCCGGATAATTCGTAAGATATATCGTTGCCATGCAATTCTCCTCCTCGTTGATATACCGTCGTATCTGGAGCTTCCGTGACATAAGGAGGAGTATTATAAGGTTCATCGCTATTAGGCTTCTCGTAGTATTGCGTTGGTCCATCAAGCTCACCTATAGGAACAGGTTGTAATCCACGAGGGCGTCTTCTGAGTCTTCTGAATAAGAGAAAAGTTCCCGCTGCAATGATTAGAACACCAAGGGCGACTCCGATAGCTACACCAGCTTTGGCGCCAGTGGACATTCCTGTACTCGATGATGCTGATGACGTCGATGCTGAATCTGTTGCTGATGATAAATTACTTGAAGACGAAGTTGCGGATGCGACAGCGGCTGAACCACTTCCAATCGGTGATGCTGTCGAGGAAGATGTAGAAGATGAAGCTGTACTTGATACCCAAGAAGGATCGTCCGAAGCTCTCTCTATGATTACACCATAAGCTGCCACCTTGTCAACCCCCGATGTGACAGTTATGGTCGTACTGGCGTATATGACAGGATATGAGGTTGTGCTTGCCGCAGTAACAGTATCGAATAATACGCTGTTGATCGATAATGTTTCATCTTCCGAAAAATAGGACGTACATCCATAAATCTGGTCTGATGCTCTATTCGCGAAACATGTATAGCCTCTATGTTTTTTGTTAGTCACCAACGATTATTCAAACCTGAGCCTCTCTCTTAGTGTAACACGTACGTGGGACAGCAGGTAGCTATGGTTTTGGTAGCACTCGAGCCTGTGGAATATGACGAGCATGCGGCACTATAGCCCGTTGGACAGACACCTGGAGAATAATAATCTATTGGGTATTAGCAAGAGCTATTCACCAGCATGAAATTGTCTAGATGATCCAATGAAGATACCCAGAAAATGTTTGAATGAACCCAGAACGTTGAACACGAGATTTCAAGAAAAATGTTCAACGACGACCATCATGGCAGAGAATAAGAAGATAAAATAGAAATTTAGCCTTACACGCTGTTTCACGATTGAATCCACTGGGCATACAAGTCGTACTCCCACTACCGATAGCACCATGCGCAAGCCAAGAATTTTTCAGATTTTGAGCCCAGAAAATTTGAGTACAATCAGAGCCTGTGGGTGTATAAGTTGTGGTCAATGGCCCTATCAAATGACTCGATGCCGATGCAGTTGCGGCGCTCGTGATTGTTGACATCTTTCTCGGGGCTGTGATGGTTAATCGTAGCAACGTACTTAGATTTGGAAGTTCGAAAAGTTGTAAAGCAATTGTTGGAAACCGTCCACGAACATCACGGCGGCAGTATCGTCCGTTTTGTTGTCCTAATAATATATTCAGCTATAATCCCTCCACTCTTGACCCTGCCAGGACGGATGTTACATATCCACTGCCTCCACTTTACGGGGCTTAGCGTGAGCGGGTCAACAGGGAGAACGATTGTATTGGCACTTTGGCACATGGAATACCAGGGTTTCTCGTTACAATTTACCATTTTCTACACCTTTAACGACGTAGCGAAAATAAAATGGTGCGTGCGGCTCTTTCCTGGTCAATTCTGCAGGAGATGTATGTAAAAATCCCCGGCACACCTGATGATCGTCCAAGGTGATGCTGTCAATAATAATTAAATTGGTAAGGGAATATATAAGATCGATTTTTCGATGCAGGACGGTATCCAGATTCTAGAGGTCCAGATGAAAAGATATACGTAGATAGAAGTCAGCACTAGCTGATTATGGAAAACCACATCGATCCTTCAAAGGCCACAAAACATGAGCGATACCGAAATCAGACATAATTGTGTATCGGATATAGAAATTGCAAGGATAATGAACTTTAAATCAATGATGCAACGTATATTCGTAAAATCTTCGACGTCGTTGATTTTGATCAACAGAAAAATCTAGTATTTCATAGATCTTCTACTCATATTTGATGTGAAAATTATTGGTTCATCGCATCTCTATAACTCATGAATTGCGGCTATTTAGTGATCGATGCTTTTGCGAACATCGAATACTCGCTCCACT